TATATTTTAAATAAAGAAAATATTATTTTGCTCTAAATGATCAGATATTCATGTCCTGTAGAGAGCACACACGAGGATAAAATAATTTTTTAGGTGCTATTTGTCGTGTGTGGGGCCGGGAAGAGAATTAAAATTGGAAAAGACCCGCATGAGTGAAAGGATGCAAAGGTGTGGGATCCACTAAATCTTACCCGCTGCTGATGCCTCCGATCCTTTTCTCGACAAGAAGAGTAAAGATTGATGGAAAAAAAACAAAAAAAAAAAAAAAAAAAAAAAACACAAGAAGAAACGAACATGTACCTTCCTCTATTTAAAAATATTTTATTTTAATTAAATCTCACTTTTAATAAAATTATTATTTATTTTTAAATTAATTTTATATTTTTATATTTATATTTATTAAATACCTTATAATAAATATAAAGTCATTATCAATAGAGGCACTTTTTAAAAAAAAGTAATGATTATACCTTAAAAGATTAAAAATGTCTTATATTTTTTAACATCTAACTCATTAAAAAATACTTTATATTTTTTAACAAGGGAATAATAGATAGTTAAGCCTGTCACCTTATCCCTCAAAACATATTCACTTATACAGGATACTTTGTATAATTGTGTTAGGCAAAAATAAAAAAGGGGTGTCGCAAGGCATGCTAGAGACATGGGGTCTTAAAAGAATGAAAGAATATGACTTTTAATCAAACATGGGGAACCCGAGTTTTCATACCACAATTCACCCGGATATGAAAATGTGAAGTAAAAAAATAATGTAGATATAGAAAAGCAAAGATACATTAATTAAAGAAAGCGGTGGCAAGGCTATGCCTGCCATATAATAAAAATAAAGACTAAAATTACATAATAAAAGAAAAAAAAAAGTTGTAGACGTGGAGTCTAAGAATTTAACTGATAGTATGTTGATGTTGATGATGATCCTTGTTGAGAGAGGGATCTTCTATTTATAGATAATTCTAACTTAATGCCCAAGCCTTATGATCGTCAATTTCTTCAAATTTAGGAAGAACTTCCTCCATCATAATCACTCATTATAAGATGGAGTGTGGATGGTCTTCACTTAGTAGATAAAGCTTCATAAATATTTTTTAAATTATTTTAAAGCTAATTAAGTTAAGTTGAGCTTAGGCCCTCAAATTTATAATTTAAATGCAAACAAACTAATTATTATTATTTTTATTAAACATTGATATTAATTATATATTTTTTTTGTTTGGAATTGATTGTTTGCTTTTTTATTCTATATAACTCATCATTAAGAAAAGTGATATCAAAATAAATAAACAATATTCTACTAAGTTCTTATTATAAAATACTTTCAAATACTTTATCAGTATTAAGGAGTGACAGTTAAACCATTTAATGTGTCTTGAAATGAAGGTGGTAGCTAGGAATTAGGTATCTCCTTTTTTCTCCTTACTTTTCATTTTTCTCATTTTCCTATCAAAATTCTTTAATGGTTGATATTTAATATTTGATAAAATTTATCGAATATTCAATTAGAAATATTAAAATTTTAATCAAATGGTTATGATAGGAAAAAAAAAATAAAGAAAAAGAACAGACCCCTCCTCAAGTACCTAGTCCCAACGAGATGAGCATGCATTACAGCCTCAACATGAAGTGTGGCTTCTCTAAATTTCTTTTCTTTTCACCTCCTCTCCATTTCTGAAAAAATTTTGAATGCTTAAAATTTATTTGTTATAACATTTATTTTTTCAAATTACAATCATAAATATTAATCTATATCAATTTTTTATATTTTAAATTTATTTATGTTTTATAATTTTATATTTTGATAATAATTTTATGAAATATTAAATTCTAATAACAATTCAAAAATTGATTTAAGGGCTGAGATAAAAAAAACTGAAGAGAAAGTGGAAAGAGATGAAATAAAGAGAAGTCAAAGCCCTTGAGAAAGCCCTAAAAAAGAAAAGGTAAGAAAAATGGCAATTACTCCATTAGTATAATATTAGAAAGTACTTTTTTAACTAAGTTACACTTTTCAATGAGTAAATTAATAGGATATTTTAATTAAAAAATCTTATTAGCCACACCCTTTATATTTAAGGATATTTTTTAAAAAATCTCATTAAATGTACTTTGAAAAATTCAAACTACTTTATACTAAGTTCACATTTAATTAAGTTATACATTTCAATGAGTAACTTAATAGGATGTCTTGATTAAAAAATCTTATTAACCACACCCTTTATAGTTAAGGGTATTTTTAAAAAAAATCTCAATAAATGTACTTTAAAAGATTTAAAATACCTTATACTACTTCTATCCTCATTTATAAGACTTTTTTTTTAAAGATTTGGTGTCATAAAATATAAGATATTTTAATAAAAATAAGATTTTATTAATGATACTTTTTCAATATTATCCTTCCTGTATATTTTTTCTCTTTAATATTCTTTCACAAATGGAGTATTAAATTAAGGGTATTTTTAAAATTTTATATTTTTATATTAAAAAAGTAAAGTTATAAAGTGTATTTAATGAGCTTTATAATATATGTGATTTTGTCATTAAGTGCCTTGTAATTTGAGACTAAAGAAGTATTTCTTAATATCTAATTACCTCATAAAAAATACTTTATATTTTTTAATGGAGGACTAAGTGTTTTGTGATGACAATTAATATTCCTTCCATTAAAACATTCAAAGCATTTTTTGATAAGTTGGATATTAAAAAATATAATGCATTTTTAGTATTTTGAAGTGTTAAGAATTACATGATCTAGGTATCTACCAAAATATCTTTTCATAAATAAGTTAATAGCATGAGTTTCACTTTCAAAACAAGTTACACCAGAAAATTGGACACCCAAACACATTTTTACTATTTCTTTCAACTTTCACATATAAAAGGGTGTCCAAAACCTAAAACAAATGTCAAAAGTCATTTCTAACACCTTGACTATATTCAATAGATTTAGGACTACTTGTATAATACACCACAAGCACACATATACCAGTATAACACAATTTTACTCCTCAACCCCTTTAATACCAAAAACAAAAGGGGGTAATGGCATTACATAATATTAAAAATCAATCATATCATGCTTAAAACAATCTTACTGTACTTGTACTGGTATTTAGGCCATATCAACATTTATAATTTTTCATAAACCACATCTCAGGGCCTAAAATATACTCATACAATGTAAATCATTATATAGTATAAGTGTAAAACAAAAATGCATCCTAATTGATAGCATTAATTCTATTACACAAAATAAATAATTTATAGAGGCATACACTAGGAATACACAAATTTCTAAGCCTTTAGAGCTTTCTCCCTTTCTGTACTTGAGTTAGAGCTTGTAAAATATTAAAGAAAAGGGGTGAGTCTAACCACTTAGTAACCAAGACAAATCTATCCTATGCAATTGTAAATAAATTGAAATAAACACATGGGTTTGAAGTAGATTTTTCTTAGTCATGCATTAACACATAATTCACGACTAATCAATTCTCAGTTAATTCATTTCATCTGAACCTAAAGTACACTGTCACAAAACACTCAGACATATGACTATGACTCGACATATTAACACGATTTGCCATAACTTAATCATGTGACACAACATATAATCACATAGGCATGATTAAACCATCCTTATACCCTCCTTATTTTCTCCAACTAAAATCAGGGCCTATAATACCGAATGAGGCTTTTTTCATGTGATTGGATTACTTAAGCTCACCAATTATGAGGTGTGACCTGGCCAAAGATCACAATACTCACTCTCTGACCACGGCTTCCCCCACTCTTGAATCCCTAAGGTGTCATATATCCTAAGCTAATTTCCTCAATAAATTAGTGGAGATAGCTAGGTTTTAGTCCCTCGACAAGCTATAGGACCAGGCTATACCCTCATGCATCAGATGACAGCCTAAAATGCCATATGAATTTTAACCACTTCCATCCCTAAGTGAACTCTCGTCTACTAATCATGCCATGTACAATGCTTACTCTTTATTCTTAAATTTTATTTTTAAAATCAAAACATTGGGCTCATGACTATGCGCTACTCAAGTGAGCATCAAATTCATTTTCACATTTATTAAATGCAACCATCATTTCCTATCTCAACAATTATTAATTACTTATTTCATCATCATAATGAAACTTTAAAACCTGTTTCGCAATCATTTTGCACCTTTAATTCAAATTAAGGTAATCATACGAACCCATGAATTTAATAGCATGCTTACACATATTCACAAAGATGCTAAACACATATTTGCAATACATTAAAATTAATAAACAACTACTCAAAGTAGGGTTTTCCCAACTACCTTAAACTTTTGAGAGATTAAAAGTTTGTCCCTTAATATTTTAGCTTTCAAGCTTGATCTCCCAAGCCAAATTGGTGCCCCAAATACTCAATCTATAATCAATCATTTCTTACTCATCAATATTGTTAAGAGCACACTATCAACTTTCACACTTTCACTTTTGCAACACCCAACATCCTCAATTTTCACCCTTAGGCTTACCTATTAGGTTTATAAACTCTCACTAGCATTATTTAATTTCATTAAGGACCCGCATTGCTATTAATGTTTCAACGACCTCCATAATTATGAATTTAATGTCCATTTTCGAACATTAATAACACTTATCAACCAAAAGTATCAAAACCTATAATCTCTAGGTTTAACTACTCTGATCGTTCCCCATTAATTCTATTTGAGTTAATGAGTTCAAACTATAATCTATATGGATCAAAAATTATCTCCTATTATCAAACCCTAACTAAAAACTTCATAAATATGGAAGAGAAAGAGAGAAAAGGAGGTTAGGGCTCTTACCTTAAGTGTTTCTATCTTCAAAAATATCCCAAATACTCCCAAGTGTGAACCTTAGTAGAGCTTCCCGTTTGCTTTTCATTTTCTTCCTTTTCTCTTCCTTTGTTTTCCATCTGTCTATGACTTAAAATTACAAAAAATGAGTTGTGTGCCATGGTGCATGCATCATGCACTGCGGTGTATGGCACAGAGAGGCCCTCCTACTTCAGTGGTCATCTGTGTGCTATGGCAGATGTACTGCACACTGCAACATGTGGCACAGAGACATTTCTTTACTTTTTCACCTCCTTTGTTGGAGGAAAAATGTGGTTAAAAATACCTTATATTTTTTGAATGAAGTAAGTATTTATTATATATATATATATATATATTTGGACAACATAGCCAAAGCTTAAATTATGATTATGCAACAAATAATCAACATAAAATATACTCCTTTTTATCCTATTTATAAGACACCTTTTAAAAGTAATCTTTAATTTAAAATATAAGACACCTTATAATAATTAAACTAATGTAGTTTTATTATTATTTAAAACTAAGGATAAAAATGAAATTGCATCTCATTTTTTTATAATATCAAGAAAAAAAAACTAATTTTATTTAAAATGTATAAAATGATTGAAAGTATTTTGTAACGAAAATTTAATAAAATTAGAGGAGTATTTTTGATCAAAAACTAGGATTTTTGGGGTGAGACAAAGATAGGTTTTTGAGATTTCTGAGACAAAGACAAGGGGATGGATTCGCCACTCACGGGTTGATGCGGACCTCCATGTCAGTATGGAGAAAGGGAAAGATCATTGGAAGTGAGGCTTCTCCGTCTTGTTGTATCTCTCCTGATTTCTGTCTCGCTCCATTAAAACAGTGGTAGATATGTAAATTTTAAGAAATAGAGGCCCAAAAAAATTTAGTGTGTGAAGGTATACTTGAGAGAGACAGAAACAGAAGAGAAGAGATGAATGAGGGGCTGTAGGTGCAAAAGTCAGAATGGAGTCCCCGCTCAGCGGGGCCAAATCCTCATATTTCATTTTGCTCATTTATTTAAATTAATTTTAAATATATTTAATATTGTATTTATTAGTGTAAAAATCATAAAAAAATTTGATATTAAATCTGAATTGTGTATGAAGTATATTTAAATGGTTAATTTATAAATATTATAAGAAAATTAATTTTAAATTATATCATTCAAATTATATCTAAATTATTTAGAGTATATCATGATTGTCAAATTATAAAAATTATAAATTTTTTTAATATTAAGTTAGATAATCTAAATTAAACATATATTAGAGCTATTAATTAGGGCTAAATTTATAGAGCTCGTCTTTTAAATCTAAAAATAACCAAAACTGAATTCTTATTTTAGAATTAAAAATGATAATTCAAGAGCTGAAAAATAAGAAGGTTTAAAATGATTCAAGACAAAGAAAGAAGATAACCTTTCTTTCTTTCTTTTCTTTTTTTTTTTTCTATACAAGACAACCTCACATGCATGAGGCGATCTGATAATGACAACTTAAATTAATATAATGTGTGGTGTTTATTATATTGGATTTACTGTGTTGATCCCATAATCATATCTGAGTATCTGACACTAACTGAGTTTCAAATGCATTTCTTTTCGTTGCAAAGGACAAATATATTAAAAAAGAAAAAGTTACAGCACATGCCGAAGGCCAATCTTTAATTTCATGCATGAGGATAGTGACAAATTAATAATTTATTCAGAACTTGGCTCTTATTCTTGTTTTATTCTTGTTTCATCATTCGTTGAACAAGTTAAGTATCCATTTGTCTTTAATCCTTGTTTAAATTGTAAGGGAGCTACGCATTAAAAGTGAACTCTTTTGTAATTATACAACATTATTGAATGGCGCTCTACAAAGCATAAATTTATAGATAACGGCCATAACAATAACAGTAAAAAAGGAAAGCAAACCAATTAATAGTGCAAATTATGAAATTTATTTTTTAAAAAAATATTAAAAATAATTTGTAAGTTGGTAATTGGATTTCTTTAAGCTTTCCATTTCTTTTTTGTGTTTTCGGTATGCTTGGGTTGCATTCCTTTTGTCTGTATGTAGTTGCTATGCGTGTTTGCATCTGCTTCTAACCTCAACGGTTCACTTTTCGTTTTAATACAATGAAATTTGACTCTCTATATTAAAAAAAAAATACTTCAATAGCTTGAATTCAACTTTAATTAATATTTAATGTTTAAATTTTATAATTTTGTTATAAATCTGATCATCAATCTAGACAGTCTAAGTTTAAGATTAATGATCCAAATTTAATATTTAAATTCTTTATAAATTGACTATTTGATATACTCTGTATAGGGAAAATTTAATATGAATGGTTGAGATTTAATATTAAATTTGTTTATAAATTATTATTTAGATATACTTTGAACAGTGAAGATATCTGCTAAAAACACTCTTGAAAAAATATTTTTTAAAAAATTGATATTTATATCTAAACTGTGTATCCTAAATTGTCCATTTATAAAAATTATAAAAATTTAAATATTAAATTTAGAATGTCAAGATTAGCAACCAGATTTATTAAATTTTTTATAATTTTTTATTTTAATAAAAACATAAAATAAAACATTAAATTTAAATTGTCCAAATTAAAATTGGACGGTCCAGATCATGCTGTTGTGCAGTGAAGCATAAGAGGAGCAAAGCAGACGCCATCATTTTGTGGGGAGGGACTGGGAGGCCAATTCCTTTGGTTCACATATATTTATTATATATAATATATATATATATTTAGACAACATAACTGAAAAATAAATTATGATTATGCAACAACTAATCAACACAAGATATATATTTATGATCAAAAAGAAGGATTTGGAGGGGAGCCCGAGTAAGGTTTTTTTAGATTTCTGAGACAGAGACAAAGGGATAGGGATGGATGGATTCAGACTCAGACGCAAACCTCTAATTAGTTGGTATGGAAAAAGGACAGATCATTAAGATTTGATGCAAAATATTAAAACGAGTGGCATAAAAAAACAGAGAGAGAGAGAGAGAGATAAATTGTATGTGTGCGAGCGTTCACAGTCACTAACACGTAGACCGCTCTCGCGGGAACAGAAGAGAACCTTTACACATCATCAACTCATTCAGAGCTCTTGCTTTTTGGGGCTGTGGGAGCCATTAGCAACCGACCCGGGCGAAAAGTTCCGTCCGATAACAATCTCTTCACTTTTCTTCTTTGCTCCCCTTGTTCTCTAGAAGCAGACCAGCCGAAACTCTATCCTCCTCTCCGCTCCATCATAATCGAGGTCTCGGTTCTTTTAAGGTCACCGGCGCGAAAGCTTCGTAGCAATCCTTGGCCGCCCTGCAGGTAAACTCCCCTGTATACATGCTCAAATGTCACCCTGCATATCGTTTTCTTCTCTTAAGTCCAGAAACTCGTTGAAAAGGAGTCCATGATTCAGAATTTCAGATGCTTTTGCGTTGGAATGTTTATTTCTCTGTCTGAATCTCAAGTAAAGTGGTGCTGCTGCTGATCAGTCTTCCATTCTTTTTATCATGCTCTGCTTTTGTAGATTTTGTTTCATCTCTCTCTTCACATATTGTGGGTCTTCTTGTTTGTTTTGATTGCGCTTATAGGTGCTTGGAGCTGATCAGTACTCTAACATACAAGTACTGATCGATGTGCTTCAGGCTTCGGTTGAGGGTCACTTCCATACCTAGCTGGAGCAGCTTTGGTAAAATAAACCTTGTCGTCTTTTTTTCCGTTGTATTTAAAAAAAAAAATTGTCGTCTTTGTCGTGGACGACTCCAATCTTCGCTTATGTTGGGCTTTCTCGTTCGGATCCTCTCATTTCCCCTCGATCGATATCTTTTTTCTGGAAACACTCTCATTAGAGAGAGACGAGGGAGGCGAGACTCGGAGAAGAGACAATAGGGAGTGAGTGGGCTGTCAGTAATTCTATCTGGATCATGAAAAAGCGTTTCTTGCCTTGAAATTCGTTTCATTTTGCTGCTTTTGGTTCGGGTCCGAAAACCCGTTTCAAACCCGCGGCCATCTTCCAATTCTGTCGTCCGCAGTTTCGTTGGTAGAGACGGTGTCCAGGAGAAGGCCATCTTCGAACCTGACGTTTTCTGTGAATTTTCCCTCGGTCCAGCGAGGGAGCCACCGGAGTGAGGCGAGGCAAATGCACCCTTACTTTGCGGAATATCGAAAATTTGATATAAAAATTTTATTATCTTGCATCCATGTCCTTGAAATTTTTACCTATTGATTCCTAGTAAGTTGTAATATTTTTCACCTCCTACCCTTCAGTTCTAAGATTCTGCATCCCCCACCCAAGGTCTTACCTCCACCACTGGCACAATCTTTCACGTTTTCTTTCTTTTCTTTTGTTTTTGTTTTTGAGTGAAAACCTATGTTTTGGTTCTAAATGTCATAAATGCTTCCCAGTGGGCATATCATGGTATGGTATTTGAGAATCTTAATTCCGTCTACTCGTGATTTGGCATTGATATTGAGGAGGAAACGTTGCCAGTCTACCACTTGCCACTTGTTGAAACAGGACGTGTAAAGTTTGATGGAAGGGGACCACGGAGGAGATTCTCTTCTGCTTCCTTTCCCTCCCGGGGTGATGCGAAGATGTCTTTATCAGGGCCCTACCCTGATAAAGACAGCTTTGTTAGCCTTAGGGAGTTTAATTCAAACTCTCTCTGTTTCTTCGCACAAAAGTCACCAGAACCCCGCAGTCTCTCCACTATTCTTTGCACACTCTGTTCTCTAGAAGCAGAGCAGCCGAACCTCATCCTCCTCTTCGCTCCATTAGAATCGAGCTCTCAGTTCTTTCAAGGTCACCAGGGTGAAAGCTTCGAAGCATTCCTTGGCCGTCCTTCAGATAAACTCCCCTATGCTAATGTCACCCTGCATCTCACCATTTTCTTCTGTTACGCCCAGAAACTCGTTGAAAAGAACGCAGTCCCTTACTCAGATGTTTTATTGGGTTGGAATGTTTATCTCTCTGTCTGAGCCTCAAGTAAAGCGGTGATAATGCTGCTCAGTCTTGCATTCCATTTACCCTGCTCTGTTTTTTGGAGGTTTTGTTTCATCTCCCTCTTCACATATTTGGGTCTGCTTGTTTGTTTTGATTGTGCTAATGGGATCGACACAGAATGTAGGGAAGCATGTAGCCCCCGTTCATTTAACGCAAGTGACAGGACTGAGGAACGAGCAATTCCTCTTCACAATCTGTATTCCTGTCGTGTTCTTTGATCCCATTTTAGCTTAGCTGATGAGGGGCGTGCTTGGATCTTTGCTCCCATTACTTTTGGCTTTGGTTGAGGGTCATTTCCATACCTAGCCTGAGCCACTGCTTGAATTTGTTTCAGGCGAGATCAAGGGAACGGCGAACGTGTTTCAGTTTCTCCTCGTCGCTCCCTGTTCCGTCACGTAGTCATGGGCTTCCCCCTCTTTTTCTTTTTCCGATTCTGTTGTTTGTTGGATCTGTCGCTGTTTGGTTAATCTGGCAGTTTCGTTTTCTCGTTGATAGAGAGTAGAGACAGTGCCCAGGAGAAGCCCATCTGCAAGGCTGGCCTTTTCTGAAAATTTGCCCTGTCTAGTGGCGGAACATTAAAATTTTTGATATTTTACATCTATGTCCTTGAATTTTTTACTTATCGATTCCTAATGAAATGTAATATTTTGCACCTCCTACCCCTTGGTTCTAAGATTTTCCATCTCTCACCTAAGGGTCTTGGCTCCGCCATTAGCTCCGTCTTTCACATCTTCTCTTTTTGAGTGAAATCCTCTGTTTATGTTCTTAATGGCATAAATACTTCCTAAGTGGGCATATCATGGTATGGTATTTGAGAATTTTACTACCGTGTACTCGTTTAAATTCATCATATACATTTTATGTGATCCTCCTGATGGTTTACATAATTTGCTGTCTAGATATTTTCTGGACATAGCTTGTTCAACGCTTGTGAGTGTATTGTTGCTGGTTGAATCATCTGTTTGCTTCTTGGTCTCTGCTATTTTGTTCTTTCCTGAGAATTTGCTCTGTCTTTCATATCTTGTGGTTTTTGTTTTGAGTCGCATAAATACTCTCAAATTTCCTGCTTCTCAATTTAATTCATCATATATATTTTACTTGATGAGCTTCCAAAGCCATATCTTTTGTGTGGAATCATATTCCCTGATTTCTGGGCAGCTAGTTAATTTATATCTAGGGGAGAAAAATAATAAGTGAGTGATGATTATTATATGCAGGATGACTTCTTCAAATAATTCAAAGTGGGGAAAGTGCACCGGAGATTCTATAGGTTACGGACGAATCTCTGGTTCTAAGGATAACAACAGCAATGGCAATGGAAATAATGCACCGAAGGGGTCATCCTCCTCAAAGGGAAAAAATTGGAACCAGATAGGGGACCAAATAGGCTATGGGAAGAAGAGGCCACCTCCACCCAGAAAGTAAACAACGCTTCTTGTCTGATGATCTGCATCACTCCCTTTTTTGAAGTTTTGGTTTTTTGATGTTTCTGTTTCATTGTAATATGCTTCAAGTAGTTTTGCCACTTTCATTAAAGCCCTGTGCTGTTTAGTTGTGTGTTCGTGGTTTTACCTTGGACTGTATGCTTTTATAGTTAAGCATTTTTTTGAGGATTGTGTGTTGTTTTAGTGTTGTTTTTTCTCTGCTTTGTAATGTACTTTCAACAAGTTTCATCGTAATCAAGTGTTCGTTTGTTCTCCAAATTAAACCCCCAAAACAGAAATGTCTTCCTTAGCTTCTAATTAATTTATTGTTATACTTACGTTATAATTCCATTGATGAAGAGCACAAATTGTTGCAATTGGAAGTCAAAGGAACATAAATAAAGGAGAAGCAAGAAAACAGAGGAGAAAACTATAATGAAACACTTGAGTATTTTCTGCTCGCTGATAACGTAAACTAATCTTCCCAATGATATTATAGCAAAAAAGTAAGTCGTTCATAACTTAATTTATTCTGAATACAAAAGCTGTAAATGAATCTCCAACCATTTAAAAAGAAAAAAAAAGATAAGGATTCGCACTATTTTTTTTTTTTTTGCCATAAAAAATTTCTAGTACTCATACAACCTTACATATCGTATTAGGGTGTTGAAACAATACACATCGCAAAATATGAACCTCGGATACGTTGTAGGCTTGTAATGTTGAATTTGACTGAGTTTTGAATGCATATATTTCCTTTTTTATTAATAGAAAAACAGAGAGAGAAGAGGCAGAAGAAAGTGTAGGAAAAAGCTGGAATAAAAAAATTGAGGAGGAAAAGAGAATAAAAGAAGGGGGACATATACACTATTTATTTTAAATCCAGCATGTATTTAGCATTGGAGGGGTTAATTTTGATTAGATAGCAAGGGGGAAAAACTTAATTATATTTCTTTTGCAAGAGGTTAATTTTATAAATATTTATTCCACTAACAACCTGTTTGGATAGCCTAAGTAATCGATTATTAGGGCTTAATAATCAATTTCAATCAAAATTTTCCAAACAGCCATAAATTGGGATAATTGGTTATTGAAGCATAATTGCATTTTTAAATAAGCTGCCTCAGGCTGATTATAGGAATTGAATTTAAAGTATCAATTATTCTATTAAACTCAATTGTGAGAATGACAAAGAGATCTCGAAAGGATTAATTAATTTAAGTTAAATTTCAAGTGCCAAACTTAAAAAATTTATAACTCAATCTCTCAATTTTGCAACTGTGTTGTAATAAATTTATAACTTATTTTTTTAAATTTTAACATGGTTAAAGAATAATAAAATTATTTTTTCTATTAAAATTTAGAATATAAGTTACAAATTCATCACAACACAGTTACAAAATTAAGAAATTGAGTTGTAAATTTTTAGAGTTTGACACTTGAACTTAACTTGAATTAATTGGTTATTTTAGGATCTTTTTGTCATTCTCCCAAATCAATTTCAGAAAAATAATATTCAAATAAATTGTGTGGTAACAAAATCAATTATAATTAAAATCAATCATATTAATCAATTATTTTCATAATTACTTATATCTAATTGAAATCAAAACGGGCTCTAAGATGTTCACTTTAGGATGATAGAGAAATAACATCAATGCATACAAAAAGATATATATTATGTTGATATTAGAGAAATTATTGTTAACATTAGTATTTCAGTTCATATAAGACAAATAAGACTAAGTCATCTAATTTGTGTACCTAAAGAATCTTTGTCTAATTGTAATTCTTCAATTATCTCAAGTGTAAGCAGACTCACAATTCATTAGACCTTCATTGTTTACAAAGAGCTCAAAGATCATGGAAAGAGTGAAAAGTATCATGCGTTTTGGTTATTGACTTATATAGACCAGATTAACAATTATTTTAATAAATTAATTAATTATTTAATCTCATATTGTGCTTAACTCAGTTAGTTAAAAAATAAGGAATAACTGTTACAGAGTTGTAAGTTGAACCTCTACCCATTAAGCTCACTTGTACGATCCACCTATCATGATCCATACAATATTATAAAGATTAATTTATCTAAGTTTATTAATTAATGCAAATCTATAAATATTTTTAAATATTCTAACAATTATTATATACATGGACGTATTGCATAATACACACACACATATTAAACCACTCACTTCAATATTTTTAAAATCAAATCAGACTAAATGGTCGAATTGGTCTAACCAGTGACCGGTGAAAACAACAGTTGGGTTCATAGCTTCATGCCGTTTTGTGGTTAGGTCGGATTGGACTGTTTAGAACCGGATTTAAATTAAAAATTGAAAAAACCACGCCACTAAGGGTAGTGGTTTGAACCTCAGTTTTCTTTACTTATCTTGTTATTCCAAAAGAAACAAAAAAAGTACTTGAACGAGGATAAGGCCGGTGCTTAATCATGACCCGTAATTGCGAACGTGTATTGGCTTTTGTGATATTATGCAAACAGATTAATTATAATATTGCTTTTTCCTTTGTGGGGCATTCTTACTTTAGCTAGATTACCTCTTGAATCATTGTCTGTTAATGTTCACTTGCTTTTAGCTGTCTCTCCATCTGCTTCTTGTTTTTCATTCCCTTCCTTCGCTTTTCGCTTTCGCTTTTTTCTTTTTTGGCCATTTTAAGAGTCTCATTTATTTGTCATATTTGAGAATACCAATTGCCTCTTCAACACCAATCCCCATTACACATACAGTACACTTCTTAAATAATTATTTCTAGCAACGTTTATTTTAGTATTATTATTAGTGGTGGTGACATTATAAGGAGGCTATAAAATAAAAATGAATAAAAAAAGAGAAGTGGACAATAATAGGGAAATTATAAGGTTGAAAGCCCATTTAGGAGATTTTGGTACTGTACTTGATGAGTGGGTGGCCTAAAAAGGGTAAAATTATCGATGAAAGAGAGAATTAAATATAATTTTTTTTTTGTCTTCTGGCCAGAAAGCAAAAGTAATTTATAATGGTTAACATTACACTTTCAAAACCAATGAGATTAGATCAACTAAAATGAATTAGCCTACATGATAAATTAATATTTAAATTTTTGTATAATTAAAAATGTAATTTGAACGATGCATTTTTTATAATTTGTATAGTTGTGTGTGTGGGGGGTATTATTCTGAAGATATTTTTCTTCTTTTGGTGTAAGAGGAGGACAAAATAATTTTATACAATTTCTTTAATTTTATTAAAAATATACCAAAATTTATTTATATATTAAAAAAATGCATATGTTTCAAAATAAATGGAATACTTACATGACTTGAACATAGTGAACAATACTCTCATTTTTCAAAGTCTAGCAAGTAAATGTTTCATGAAGAAGGAGCAAAATCGACCTTTTCTCGTATGGTTCTATTATTCTATAGCTTCTCACAGATAAAAGGCAAACCAGAAATTAATCATTGTGAAATTAATTTGCTAACTAATTAATTAAGTTCAGGAAATCTGGGGTCTAAAAGACTAGGACTTTCACCAAAAAAGAAAAAAACTATTTTGTCGCTCCTGTGGATATTACGACCTCCTGCCTAAACTGATTCGAAACCCCGGCCCTACTATGTCTCTCAAGTACTTTGAGAATATTTTTGATATACTTCCCTTGTTTAAAGATATAAGGTATTTTTTAGTAGTTAGATGTTAAAAAATATAAGATATTTTTAATCTTTTAACGTGTGATTATTGCATTTTTTTTAAATGCTCCTAATGAATAAATCACTTTATACTTATTATGGAGTAAAACATACTATTAAATAGGGATAACTATGAAAAGATAATGTTTATTTTAAAGACAAATAATTATTTTATTGGGAGTACGATTCAGTCAAAGATGTCTTAAATTTTTGAACAAAAAAAATCTTTTTTTAATATAATTGCATATCTTCTGACTCAAACTTGAGATTTTAGGATAAGTCGAACCAAGCACTGCTCGGTACTTTCAAGGAATTATTGACAGCCACTGAAATTCATTTCCGGGTTTTCTGAGAATTTTTATATTTCGAAATATGTTGGAAAACAAGGCTAAATGAATTGATAAAAAGGAAAATTAGTTCATCCGTGTTCCCGACTTGCATGGTTTATTTTCAAGCTCACATGTAAATGACAGAAATTCAGTTGCGAATATGTCTTAGAAAGCCATCTTATACGTATCTTTTTTATACAATAGGACCGATTACCATCTGCCCAAGAAGTCTATTGCACTCGTGTTCGTGCAATACTATTTATAATTTATAAATTATTTTTAACAAATTTCACCAGCAATTAATAAAATTTTCAAAATAAATTAATTATATTTAAAAATTTAATAGTTTTATCTATATGATATATATATATATATATATCTATCTTGATAACATACTTTCTCTTACTAGTATTTAATAAAGATAAAATGAAAAATTTGTGATAGATAATTAATAACATGGTTTATAAATAAGACAAGAAAATTGTTTTCTTACTTTGTTGAGCCTAAAATGACATTGTTTTGAGTTAAAAAAATGATCATGAAAATATTAACTCTTTATTTTTTTTATAAAGAAGATATTAGCTCTTACTACTTGATGTCTTCGAACTTAATCTTTTGCTAGTTGTGCTAAAATGTATTTGCAATTTTTTGATAAAATATTAAATATATATTACTAGAATACAGACTCTTCAATCAATACATTATTCCAAAATACAATATATTTATTTTTATTTATTAATATAACAATTCATGTTATATTTTAATTTTTTTATGAAATTTTTTATTAATATTAATTTAAAGTGAAATAAATTTTATAGTTTAAACTTAAATAATTTATATTTTATTTTAAATTTTCATATAATATATAATTATTAATATTATAACTTAATTTTTTATTTAAATATATCTTTTGATTAGTTACCATTTCAAAAATTTAAATCTTCTTATTATCAATTAATTATTAATAATTTTAAAGTTATTGATAATGTTAAAATTTCATATTATCTTAAGTAGTGTGTAAATTATTTTTATGATATTAAAAAATTTAGGAGTAACATATAATAAATAATAAAAAATTTTTTATTGGTAATGCGTCTTGCTTGCAAAAATTAAAAAATAAATAAAATAGTGTGCTCACATCATATGTGAAAGGATTCGAGTTGAGCGGCTGACACGTATCCACGTGAACGTGCATGCATGGATTGATCACGCAGTTATTGTCCGATGAATGTGGGCCCCACGGTTCCCCATCAACCCATCC